CTTTGCCCTGGCGTTTAGGGTACAGGGTTGGGGCTGCCGGTGGGAGCCCGGCTAACACAAGGACCGAGCATTTGCCAGTAACTGTGTCTCCCTTTTCATCTTCCCCCACCCCCATTGAGTAACAGTAGTGTCTTAAGCCAACACTCTCCCACACACCACACACCACACGCAACCCACTCACACGCACACTCACACCCGTGTTGGCTGAAGACTTCACTAAGACCGACTGGGAGGAATCAGCTGACTATCTCAGCTGGTGTCACCAAGAGCGCCACAGGCGGCCATGGGGATTGAACCCACAACCTCCCGAATGCCACTTGCGTGCCTAACCAATTGAGCTAACATAGTTTTGTTTTTTTCCCCTGGATGTTTTGGATTTTTTTTGTTTTTTCTTACAGGGATCTTCCTTGGCCCTTGCTCAACTAGGCCGGCTGGGCAACCAAGGTGACCCGGGCAGCCCGATTGGCAACGCAGTTGCTACACGAACTTGGAGCATTTTACTTTTTTTTTTCTATGATAGACTGACTCTTGTATGGGCATAGAACATATAGGTAAGTGCACGTGTCATCGGATCCAAAGGAGGAGGAGAGAAGAGAGGGGAAATAGAGAGAAAGAGGGGGAGGGAATGACAGGTCGGGCGGAGGATGTGGGTTCGTCTGCTAGTGTCAAGGGGATCTTAGAAGATGACGCTCGCCACCACCAATTGATCCTTGAGATGCAGAAGCACAAACCCTTGAAAATCAGCTGTCAGCCATAAGAGAGATGAAAAGGAGGGAGAGAGACGAGAAGGAGACAAAGGTAAAGCGAACAACCATTGTGGAAAAACTTAGAAGGGGTCTGTCAAGTTGTCAACCCCTCCAGATGTGAAGGACTTTGTTTAGAAAATTTTTGATCTCCTCGTTGGTCTTTGGGATAGACAACTCGACAATGTAAAACAAGAGAAAGCACTGAAGCATGAAGTCATCACGAAGATAAATAAGAACATTTTGGCCTTTCGAGAGGAGGACCTACAACTCAAACCACCAGTGCTTGGCCCAGCTATCGGCCGCAGGAAAAAATAGAGTAGAGCCAGGTGGCGCAACTCTGTGACCTAGCTTAGTGGGGGCGTGAGGCCTGGTAGGGAGATCTGGGGGGCTGTTTGCGGGGGCAGTCTCAGTGGTCATCAGGGGTCGTAACTGAAGCAATGCTGGCCGGTGCTGGAGCAAGGTGGTGCCACTCTGTGACCTAGCCTGATGGGAGCATGAGGCCTGGAAGAGCTTCGGTTCGTGCTGAAAACGGCCATGCTGGTGGTGGTCGAAGGTTGATTGAATAGGTTTCACCTATCTGATTCGTGGTTGGGAGGCTTGTTGACACACAATTTCTGAATG